TCCAGACAATTTGAAGGATGACTTTTTTACATTTTATATATAAAATAGAAAAACAACTTAATACTTATCAAACTTCTAGAAGAATGCTATCTTAAACATAAAAAATGACAGGAAAATCACAAAGAAAAAGACTTAATGACATAAAAATCTTAACCTTCTATATATCAAATCTTTAAAAAATAAAAGGCAGATAAGGAAAATGTTCAGAGAAAAGACCGTTCCCAACAGATAAATGACTAAAGCATATAAACAGAAATAAACTATACCATGTATGGGGGGGGGTTGGTTTTTAAGTGAAAAAGTAAAGTAAGTAAAAAAGGATGTAAAAAAGGGATCTAGTAAATGTCTGTAGGGGGGACTATTTGGGAGGGGAGGTCTGGTTCTTTTCACCTCCTTACCCACCTAATCCAGCATCAGGCATCAGTAAGCCCTCAAAAAATGATTTTTGAAGGAAGACATGAAAATATATAAGGTCTGTTAGGAAAAAGGAAGAATTCAGGCAATAGTCTATAAAACAAAGAAAAACTCAGATACAGCCTTAATTATCTGAGGAGTTTGATTCAACAGGACTTTTTTCCTAAAACGTGAAAAATATGTGCCTCAAATGTTCAGTTTATTCATGAGAAAGCATCTTGAGCCCTATGCCTTTCTTAGACACTCCTTAAAAGGGATGGTTTGGAAACTACCTTGCAGACCTTTATGAACAGGTCACATCTCTATACTCCCATGAGATTATCTAGCAAGAAAAATAATGTGTTATTTTCATTGAAAAAACTTGGGATTGAACAGAAAGCAAAATATTTTTCATGGATGAACCAAGTTGCTTATAAATATCCCAATCAAATGAGCTGACAACAGAGGTAATGAATATACTCCTTTGACTAATTTAGATCCTTGTGCAAAAGCCAAGTACTTGAGGTACATGTCAATATACATGCACTGCTGCTTAACTATAAACAGTCTGTGACAGAGAACCATGGTAAACTGTCAGCACCATTTAAAAAAATCTGTGTAAAAAACAGACAGCTTAAAGAAAAAGAATAACTGAATGGCTCACTTTGGAAAAGCCATTTACAAACTTGCATTTCTGCAGTCATGCCATTTTATCTGATCCAAAAGAACAGAATATGATAATGTTATTGTGTTATTGTTGATCAAAAGATTAAATGTTCTATTCAAGAGAACCAGATAGAGGGTAATTTTTAACAAATAAACAAGGAAATCAAAACAGGAGAAAGGAAGAAATACGGAAAAAAGAGAGGAAAGCATCTGCTTCCAATATCCTTTGCATCACAGTAATGACCGGCACTAAACTGCCATTTTTTCAACTAATTATATATTAAGGGGAAATAAAGATTTATATTGTCTTGATTCTAAGAGCATTTCACAAACTGAGACGATCTAATATAGTTGACATAACACAAGAAAATAGCTGCTATTATTCTCCACAGCTTCTGTAGACTGCTAGCTTAAATCTCCTGCAGAATCGAATACTGACTCAAACTGCCCCTAACGTGTATGCATGAGGGGCTTTTACTGCCAGCAACCACGGACTAAGTAAATCAGAACAATCTCCAACCGAAGAGAACTAGAAAAGCAGGGAAAGAATATAATAAATATCTGCATGGAGGCCTGGAGGAGGAAGAAACATCAGAGAGTCAGGAAAGTGAGCTCAGTATTCAGAGCTACTTTTCCCTGGGGGTGTTTGCCAATTCCAAAGGGAATGCCAAAAGTTTGGTGTTGGCTTAGGGAGGGAAGGTGCTGGTGAAATGCTGAACCCTGGGAGTAAAGGTGGACCAAACAGGCTGGCCCTCACAGGGACTGCAGCTCAGTTTAGAAACAGCCCGATCCCCGAGACTGTACTGAAGTGACTCCAGATCCCAAGAGCCCCATTTGCCTGACAAAAGCAAATGTGAATTATTTCTGGCAGAGGAAAACATCTTAGATCTCAATTTCTACAAAATAATTGTGCAAATTCAATGGCCAGCACAAAATTAAAAAAAAAAAAAAGGCTAGGCACATAAGGAGATAAGACAAAATGAATGAACACCAAGAGAAAACAGACATTGGAAAAGACTCACAAATAGTGCCATAATCAGACAAACTTTAAGATAATTATGCATACCATATTCAAGGAGATAAAAGACAAGATTGATAATTTTGGCAGATAATGGTAAACTATAAAAAGAAAACCAAATGGAAATTAAAGAACCAAAAATATGTAACTGAAATGAAAAACTCAACTGAGGCATGCCCAGCTGGCTCAGTGGGTAGAGCACGTGACTCTTGATCTTAGGCTTATGAGTTTGAGCCCCATCTTGGGTGTTAAAAAAACAAAAACAAAAAAAACGAAGGGGCATCTGGCTGGCTCAGTCAGTTAAGCATCTGACTTCAGCTCAGTTCCTAATCTCGGGGTCCTGGGATAAAGCCCCACATGGGGCTCCCTCCTCAGTGGGGAGTCTGCTTCTCCCTCTGCCTCTGCCTCTCCCCCTAGCTTGTGTTCTCTCTCCCTCACTCACTCACTCTCTCCCTCACTCACTCTCTCTCAAATAAACAAATAAAATCTTTAAAAAAAACCCAAAAAACCCACCCTCAATTGATGGTTTAATAGATCATTTATAGCAGAAGAAAGAGAGATAAGTGAGGAGATACCCAGAATGAAGGACAGAGAGACAAACAGAAAACACAGAAGGTTAAGAGACAAAATCCAACGAATGATTTAACATGTGTAACTGGAGTCCCAGAAAGAAAGGTGAGATAGAATGGGGTGGAAGCAATATTTGATGTACTAATGGATGATGACTTCCAAAACCAATGAAAGATGTAAGGCCACGGATTCAAGAAGCCCTAAGCACTCCAGTTATAAGTTAAAAAAAAAAAACAAAAAAAACCCCAACAGGGACAGCACAGAAAAATTTCTGAAAACCAAAGACAAAGAGAACATTTTAAAAGCATCCAGAGAAAAAGACTACTTTCAAGAAAACGACAGACTAACAAGGGGCTTCTCAAAAGAAGCAATCCAAGTCAGAAATAATGAAATATCTTTGAAATGCTTAAAGAAAACAATGGCAAACCAAGAATTCTGTAAGTACCTAAAAGGCCCTTCACAGTGGAGGAAAATGTTCTAAAATTAGATTGTGGTAATGGTTGGAGAACTCTGTGAAAATACTAAAAACCACTGAATTGTATACTTTAAATGAGTAAATTTTATGCTGTGTGAATTGTGTCTCAATTAAGCTATTTGGTTTTTTTTTTAATGCAATGTAAATAATGACACTGGCAAACACACTGTAAGAAATCTGTCACCCCAGACCTGCACTAAAGGAACACTAAAGGGTATTCTTCAGGTGAAAAGAAATGGCCCCAAATGGAAGTCTTGAAGGTGACAAAGAAGGCACAGAAGAACTACAGAGGAAAAATGACCTTTTTTTTTTTTTTTTTAAGATTTTATTTATTTATTTGAGACAGAGAGAATGAGAGAGAGAGAGAGCACATGAGAGGGGGGAGGGTCAGAGGGAGAAGCAGACTCCCTGCCGAGCAGGGAGCCCGATGCGGGACTTGATCCAGGGACTCCAGGATCATGACCTGAGCCGAAAGCAGTCGCATAACCAACTGAGCCACCCAGGCGCCCCTCAAAAATGACCTTTTTGATAATCAGTGCTGAATAAATGGTGTTTGGTAAAAGTGAAATGTAACCCCCCTTTCCACAAAAAAAAAAAATCAATTCCACAAAAAAAGTTACACACACACAAATACACAAAGTTACACAAAAACAAATTCCAAGTGGACTGTAGATTTTAATTTGAATGGCAAAATAATAAGATTTCCACAAGGTGTTACAAGAAACAATCTTCTTGACTTCGGAACAGAACTACAAATTAGACATGTAAACCCCAAAGAAAACTGGGCAAAACATCTGAACAGGCACTTAGTAAAAGAGGCTACCAAATAAACATGACCTCGTCAGTCTGCAAGAAAGTTCCATTTAAAACCACCACAGGATACCACTTCACACTCACCAGGATGGCTAAAATTTACGACTGACAATACCAAGTGCTGGCAAGGACGTGGACCACAGGAACTCTAACACACTTGCTGGAAGGAGTATAAATCGGTCAAATGCCTTGGAAGCTTGGTATTATCTATTAAATTTGAAGACATGCCTATCTTTCCACCTAGAAATTCCACGGCTGCGTATATACCCAACAGAAGTGAGTGCCCCGGGAGACATACGAGCATATTCATGACAGCCGAAAGGCAGAAACAATCCCAACGTCTACCAACAGTGGAATGGGCAAATTGTGGTATATTCATACAATGGGATACTACACATCAATAAGAAAATGGATGAAGCTCAAAAACAACTTGAGTGAAGGGAGGCAGCAGACACAAAAGGACATTTGCTGTATTGTTTCGTTTGCGTAAAGTTCACAAAACAAGCAAGATGAAACCACAGACACCGCAGGTGCAAAGGGCTATGTGTTTAGAAGGTAAAATTACACGGAAGGAAAGGCAAGGAGGGGATGATCATCCCCGACAAGTCAGGGTCGGGTTACCCCTGGAGAAGGGATTCCGGGCTCGTGGGCGCCGGCGGTGCTGTATTTCTTGGCCTGACACCCGGCAGAGCCCTGGCTGGGGGGTAAATCGGGGAGGGCTGGTTGGGGTCCTGCACTGGTGTGGGGCCCCCAGCGCGCGAGAAGCCAGGGAAAGGGGCGAGAGAGGGGAGCGGCTGAGGGCAACCGCCTCACCCAGGCCGCCGAAGCGGGGCTCGCAGCGCCGGGGGCGGGGGCGGGGGGCGCCCGGGAGGGGAGGCCGAGCGGCCGCGGCCCGGCGCCGCCACACCTGCCCGCGGGCCCGGCCCCCGCCCCACAGGGCCCCCCCGCCGCCCCCCCGGCCCGCCCGCCGTCCTCGACGCCCCCGCGCCGCTCCCGAGGCTCCCCCGCCAACGCCCCCGCGCCGCCCGCCCCGTCCTCTCCCGCCGCGCCGCTCGCGCGACTCACCTCATTGTCGCTGCCGGGGCGGGCGCGCGGGGCCGGGGGCGCGGCGCGGGGCGCGGGGCGTTAGCGGGGGAGCCGGCCCCGGGCGCGGCGGCTCCGCGTCTCGCTGGGCTTCGCGGGGCAGCGGGGGCGCATCTTCTCGGGGCGGGCGTCCGGGCCGCTAGCTGCAGGGACGGGCTGCGGCGGCGGCGCCTGACAGCTGGGCCCCGGCCCCTGCCATCTTGGCGGGCGCGTGCCCGGGCCGGCGTGAGCGCGCGCCGCCGGGGGCAGGGCGGGCGGCGGAGGGGAGGGGGCGAACGCGCGCCCGCCTTGGCTCGGGGCGCCGGCCCGGCGGGCGCGGGCGGGGCGCGGGGGCCGCCGAGGGGGAGGCGGGGCGCGCGCGCGGGCGAGCTCGGCCGCGAGCCGGGACTGACGGGGCGTCCCTCCGCCCGCCGAGGGGAGTGCGCGCGCGTGCGTCCCCCCGCCCCCGGCCGCCGAGGGGAGTGCGCGCGCGGGGGCCGAGCCCGACACAAAAGGCGCGGGGCCCCGCCGCCCGCGCCTCCGGGAGCGCAGAGCCAGGGGCTGCGAGGGGCGGGGCGGAGCTGCGAGGGGCGGGGCGGAGCTGCGAGGGGCGGGGCGGAGCTGCGGGGGGCGGGGCGGAGCTGCGAGGGGCGGGGCTTCCTGGGAAGGACGACCAGCGAGGGACGGGCCGGAGCTTGGGGACCAGGCTGTGGGGACTGGGCTTCCCGGGGAGGACGAGCCGCGGGGGGCGGGGCTTAGGACAGAGGGCGACCAGAGAGGGGCGGAGCCGTGAGGGTGAGGTGGAGTCGTGGGCGGGGCGCGGCGCTAGGCCGGCACGTGGAGCGCAGAGCCCCTTCCCCGCGCGGGCGCCCCCGGTTATCCATCAAGGGCACTTACTGCGCGGGCGTCGCTGCGCGTGGGCCAGAGGATTCCCCCTCTCCTTGCAGTGCTCCCCACCTGCTCGGACGCAGGGGCAGCTGGGATCCAGGGATGTCGAGGTCACCAACCCGTGCGTCCTCTTTTTGTAAATAGCCAGGTCTGGGAGCTTAGTCGCAGCTTTGGGGTTCTATCAACAACACGTGGAGGACCTCCCCTAGCCGAAGGAGAGCCTCATCAGGCGCCCCAAAACCACATCCTGTGAAAAATCACAGCACAAAGTAGGTGCTCCAGGTTTTCACTGGTTGTTAAATCCCCATCCTTCCTAAAGGTTAGGGATCTTCATTGCTGGCTAGAAACCTTCCGGGATCCCACTCCCCATATCTAAGTGGACACAGATCGTCGTGCTTTCTCACTATTGCCGCTGATGCTCCCTCTCCTATCTATCATCGAAATCATAGCTACCTTCTTGAAAATTGGGTCGAAACAAGAGCATATTAAGGGTTTGGCAAAGTTTGGAATTTAAGAAGGCGGGGAAGGGGCGCTATTTTACTCCTGGCCCAGATGAAGAGGCTCTGTGAGTTATGTGGTTTTGCCCAAGATACAGCAAGTGGTGGAGCCAGTTCTCAAGCCAGGGTTTCTCTGACTCAGAATCCCAGTGCCCATTCATTCTGGTTTGCTGCAGTTGAATGTAGTTTTCACTGGTTGCAGGGTGGGTCTCTAGGGGCTTCTTCCCCTCCGTATCCCCTGCCTCTCCTTCACCATCCACTTGTCATGAGTTCCTTGGTGACCGATTGTCACATTTTCCCTTTCTTTCTGTTTGAGCTGGAGTCTTCAAACTCAAAAGAGCACGTTGGTCCCCTGTAGCCCTGTTAGCAGGTCCAGAGGGTTTCCGCTCCTTCTCGCCTTATTTGTCCCTCTCTTCCCAGGGTCAAGGTTGGCTCTCTGCTACAGAAGAGACTTGTTAGACACTAAAAATTACCAAAACGGACGATCTCCAGGGCACTTGGAGACAGGCAGGTATATTCTGTAGAGGCAGTGTTACCCTTGGTCAGTGCATTTCTGACTGTGGGAGAACACCACCCCCGCCCCCTGGGATATTGGCCTGTTTGTTCTCAGCTTGGGTTACTGGAGCTTGTGGCCCACTCTGACCTCCCTGCTGCCTTGGAGTCTGATAAGTTACTACCCTGTAACTGGAAAAGGGTCACCGGGCCATGTTGGTAGTGGATTTACTATAGAACATTAGCACCAAAGGTGTGAGACATACACCCCCTATCAACCTTTCCTGCTAACTACCAGTATCCTGGAACAATAAAGACAGAAGGACCAGAGAATATTGATGCTGGGAGGGACCTGCCAATCCTTCTGTTGGTAGGAGATGGGGGGTGGAACACCAAGAAAGTGAAAGGGGTCCAACATCACTCAGTGAATTCACAAAGTCAGCTGTCGGGCTCCTGGCGAGATCACTTCTTGGATCCGGTGTTTGATCCTCAGAGGGCTTCATGAGCAGCAGGAAGGGCTGGGGAGGACAGGTAGGGACCACTTGTGGGCCCTAAGCTGAGCCCTGCTTCTCCGTGAATGGGAGTTGGTCTTGCCCACCCAGCCCAGGATGCTTAGGAAGGAGAACTCCACGTGTTGCTGCTCCACCAGCAGTGTAGACGTCTCTGAGCCTCCCTTTCTCACCCCACAGATGGGACTCCTACATCCTTGTAGGCACTGCTGAGGAACAGCACAACGTAGGCTCCTGCAAAGTCTTTCCACCCTCCCCCAGCAGCCTCACTCTTGCCTCTCCTTCCCCTCTCCCTTAACCATACATTTTTGAAACCAGTCTACTTAACATGTTTCTCATTGACTGAAAAAACCTTTATTCCTTAAAAGTACGTGAATTCATGTTTTACATTCTTCAGATAAGAAGAACATTATTTTTGACATGTATGGCCCCCAAATGATTTGTCTCTGGAGGTCACCCTTCCTCGGATGTGAAAAGATTGCTCACCAAAGTCAGTGACTTTATAACATGTGATGTGTCTGGGTGTAGGCTGACTACCCATGGCTCAGCTGGGAGGCCCTCCTGGACTGGTTTTCCCATTTGTGGGGGAGGCAGGAAGCACAGGCTTTCTGCTGTTAGCCCAGGCTAGTTATAGAGCCACAGACACGTAATAGAGCCAGGAAGTCCTCAAAGGTATCTGTCTAACCTCCTGTCCAGAGGGAGAAAGTAAGGCCCGGAGAAGTCACACAGGCCAGCAGATGAAGAGCCAGATGAACACACGTTCCTGCAGACCCCAGTTTCAAGACTGCCTACATTATCCCCTGCTCCCTCCTTGTTTCTTGAAGCTTTTCCAGCCTGGGGTCATGGTTGAGGAACCAGCCCTGTGGACCATCTTCTCTCTCTCTCGGTGTTGCTAAAACAAACTGTACTCACCCCAAATAATCAAAAGAAACACAGTTGCTTTCGATGATTCACCAATGAGACCATGTCTGGTTTATATTAACAGCAGAAGTCAATTACTAATTCATGCCAGAACCCAAAGCAAAGACATGCTTCTCTGAAGTGAAGACGACAGATGTCTCAGAGACCTTGGGGACCACCTGTGACACTGTCTTTCTTTGAAAATCCTCATTCACACCATTCACCTCATTGACCAACTCACTCATTACCAACAGTGTTTTTCTTAAATATAACACAGTTTGTTTTCAATCATTCATTCACCCAAGGTTTGTTGAGCACCTACATGTCTCTGCCTCACTGGTGCCCAGCAGCCTCTGTCTACTCGGGAAACCATCTTCAACCCCCACCCACATGTCACCTCTCTCCCAGAACCCTGAGCACCCTCTTCCCCCCAGGGCTGCAGGCACCATCCTCCATACTGCTTGGGGGCTTGGGGACTTGGGGCTCGGCCCCATCACACTTTCACCATCCCATATTGGGATGGTCTTTTTGACCTGCTGACTCCCCTGCTAGACTGTGAACTTCATGAGGGCAGTAGGCAGGTCTTATTCCTCTTTGACCCCACCTCTGTTACAGCACAGAAGTGAGGAGACCCTGCTGACTCTTTGCCCTCATCCAAGCAGTGCCTGTGGGGGGTTGGGGGGGGAACAAGCCTGCAAGCATTACATTTTGGAAACCCAAGCTCCTGCTTGTGCTCTTGTTTCATCCAGCAGGAAACAGAAATTACTTCTGGCCCATTTTGCCTTCCCCACAGCCAAGGATGGTCTGTGGCTCACAGCTGGAGCTTCTCTTTTGACTCTACCTCTCAGGCTCCTGGGCTCAAAAAGCAACTCTCCTTAAGATCATGTTTCACCCACTTTGAAAGCTCAGGAAGAGGCAACTCTTGGGAGAGGGGCCTGTGGTGGTAATACTGGGGATGACTCCAGTTTCCTGCTGAGTGTCTCAAAGGCCTGGGCCAACTGAGGGAAGCTTAGCCAAATGTATGTATGTTGGGGGGCTAGAGGGGAGGACCTCGAGTACCCTTCTGGTAGAGGGCAACTTCTTAGTGCCACTCTTTGCAATGGGAGAAGCAGACTGAAGACCCAGGTTGGAGCAGGCCTGCTTTCTTGGAGGAGGCTGGAGCCAAGTCCTGCCAGCCCAGGCTGCCTGAGTGTTCCCACTTAATTAAGTTCAGAAAACTGAACCAAGGGCATCCCTTAGGCCACCCTAGCCAGCAACCCAGGAGAGACTGCTGATCCCTTTCCTGGAGCCACAAGGCCTTTGGGAAAGAGTGCCCCACCGAGCCCCACCCTAGGGAGGCCCAACCTCCCTTGGGCCTTCCCAGCGCTGGAGACCAGGTCTCAGCTTGGGGGGTGTCCACTCTCATCCCTGGGGAAGGAACTCCCTGGCCACTTCTCCCTCTCAGCTGTCTAACACTTGCTTAGAGATCCTGACAGCCAGGCCTTTGTGGGGCGGAGGGGACCTGCCTACAGTGGGGCTGGGAGGCCTGGGCCTCTGAGCACATATTTTAGGGGACTTGATGAATTTGAAGTCTTCGATCCCCTCACATGATGTTCTACAAGCTGAGCAGTCAGCAGATGGCATGTCTAATGGAGGGAATGATAGAGAAGTTATAGGAAGAGTCAAGAAGATCTTGCATGAGAGCAATATGACAACAAAAAGTAATTCTTAGGAATAAAAACATTATTTCAAAATGGAAAAAATTAATTAGAGGCAGTAAAAACAGAAAAGACACTGATCTAGAACAGTGTTGGCCCACTTTTCCTACAAAGGACAAGATAATAAATATTTTTGGCTTTTTGCAGGTCATTCAGTCTTTGTCATAACTACTCCACTTGGCCATTGTAGCTTGAAGACAGCCATAGACAATCCATGAATGAATGGATGTGACTGTGTTCCAATAACACTTTATTTATAAAAACAGGTGGCAGCCTGGATTGGGCCTGTTGACTCA